TCACGGACAGGTGTGCAGTGGGGCTTGCTGGGGACATAGACAGACCCAGTCCAGATGAAAGTGCGTGATCAAGGACAGATTGCTTGAGTTATCACTGGTGATATTGGTAGCTGTTGTATCCGGAATGCTACAGAGGTCCACCCAAGATTCATTTAAACAAGTAAGGTCCTCCCCCCGCCACCACCCGTACAACAAGTTCAGCAGCTCAAGAATGTCACAGGTTTGGGTCAGAGCGTGCCATTCTTCCACCTGCTTCCCCTGGTCACGAGAGTGCCACGGTCTTTGCTGTCTTCATCAGCTACGCTAAAAGCTGGGCCATCCTAGGTCAGACAGGTTCTTGCCATTCTCCTCCCTGTTATCTAGGAGGGGTTTTTCCTGGAGCTCCCCAGGAGACTTAGGTCTCTTTGTGCGGAGCTAGGCTGCGTGCTGAGTCAAGCTGGGACAAGTTGGGCCCTGAGTGATAGGAAAACTGTAAGGAATGGGGCTCAAATGAACTTGAAGTTTGTTTCTGACCGATGATCAAAAGGTCTGGGGGCTGTCCAAGCTTCTGTGACGCCAAGGTGTTCTGGTCCCGAGCTTTTACCTTTGTACTGTGATTGTCCTTCCCTTCCCTACCCCCCATGTTACCCTAGGGCCTCGGGATGGCGAGTGAAAACCGGAAAAACCTGGGGCTCCTCTCTAGTTCCCAGGACAGCGCATGACTTTGCATAGAAAAGTAGCACTTTTTATTTACTTCGAACTTACATTTAACTTTCCTCCTATTACGAAGTACAGTACCACAGTAGCATATCACAAACAGAATCCATGACTGAAACTATGTCTTGTTTTGATTATGCTAACCTCTATTTCAAAATTATGATCAATATTAGAGCTGCTAAGGGAGTCCATGGCACCACCACTACCACCTGCCCTTAAGAAGAAGCAAATAGGAATCTGTTGTGTTCTGGCAAAGAGCCTGACAGCTGAGGCTTGCATCCTGGCTCTGCCGCCTATGCGCAGGGCTGCCTGACCTCCCTGGCTCTCTCTTCCCTGCCTTAAGTTGGATGCCCTATATTTCCTCATGGGTGTGAGAATCAAATTCAACTTCAAAGCGCTTAGAACAGAGCTTGTGCCATAGTAAGCACCATGGGAATCATTTGCCCTTATTATTTGGCCATTGCAAAAGAGAAGAGAAACATGGGGGTGGACAAGTGGCCATCTGCCATCTTGTCCTTTATGATAACCCGAGCAAAGGTGGGGTGCCGTAGTCACCGTTACTGATCTCCCCTGGTGCTGGTGTCCTTGGCATGTGTCACTTTGTCACATAACCTGACATTAGGTACTGCCATCTCGTCACAGATAAAGAAATTGAGGATCATAAGGGTCCAAAGATTACTGAAGACCCACAGCTAATATCCAGCCTCTCAGCTTTGAACCTAGGTGGTGTGGCTGTAAAACACCAGGCCCCCTTTCTTGGACAGTCGCAGTACTGTCTTCCTAAAGAAATCAGTGGACATTGTTAAAGAAATCCAAATTAGCATGTTAAGGACAGCTCGCAACCAGGACAGAGGAGATGTGATTCTGAGAACCTGTGTCTTGGGACGCTTTCCTCAACGACGGTGTGATGTAGTAAGTGACCCAGACTGCCTGGGCTCTGTCTGTGCCTCCATTGCTTTCCGCCCAGGGGCAGTTTCTCCCCGTTAGCATTCTCACCTGTACAGTGAGGATTCTCGAAATAAAACCTCAGGGCATGCTTGCTTCTCAGGTTAAATGTGTTCTTTGTCCACTTCAAACACTCGCAAACAAACAGCAGTCAATTACTATTGCCACTGGCTGTGGTAGTGCATGCCTGTGTAATCCCAGCGCTCGGGAGACTGAGGCAGGAAGACTGCCCGAAGTTTGAGGCCAGCCTGAGATACTTCGTGAGTTCGAGGCCAGCCTGAACTACTTGGCAAGACACTGTCTCAAAAAGCCAGGAAAAAAAAAGTTGCTCTTGTCACTGAGTTTGTGATTAGTATTGTGATTATTACCACTGTCCTCTGGACTGCTGCCCACCTCTGGTGGCGCTGGCCTGTAGCCCAGCTGAGAGGATTTAACCCGAGGGAAAGGAGGAACTCAAACAGCATATGTCAGTACAATATTTTATAATGAAAAATTGCAGGCACAAGAATGTGGAAAGACTAGTACCAAGGACAATAAAATGCAGCCTGCGAGTCAGATTCTGCCTCCTGCCTTCGATGGCACGTCTGGTTCTGCAGCTGCTGTGTGAAGGTGCAGCCGAGTGGTTGGGACAGAAACCCTGTGGTCTGCAAAGCTGCAAGTATGGCTTGACACTCTAGAGAGTTCCGCTGACCTCTCAGCCGGTACAGTGAGCGCCTGTGCGCTTACAGCCCAGGTCCGCTGAGCGGAGTGTCTGCCAGATTTGGTTTTCCTTTCTGTAGGTCTGTGTCTGTGTACATTTCATTTTACGGCTGAAAATGAGTTGCAGGTCTTCTAGTACTTCATCCTGAGGTCCTTTAACTGCCAACATGAACTTTTGGGGCCCCCTGAAGCTCAAGTGGTCCGAAAGCCTCTGACACTGTAGGACAAATATGACAAACTTGGCGTGTGCATTTCTCACCAGAGCATTTCCTGATGGTTAGCAGTTTGTGACCCCAGGGAGACACTTAAACCTGACCAGAGACCACTGCTTGTGCGGGACGTCAGTCACTTCTAGAGCTTTTCCTGTCGCGTGGGGCCCAGGAGGAGGCAGGCAGAGGGAGCCTGCTCCTTACCTTGTCCCAGTCCCTGTCTTCTGCCCCTTCTTCCGGGAAGAGGGCTCCCCTGTGTGACCGTCAGGGCTCCCTCTCCAGCTCCCATGTTCCACCGTCACTTATGACCTCATTGTGTTCTTGAGACGCTCCGGGTTCTGGGTTGGAGAGGTGCCGGTGGAGGTGGAGTAACAGCACGGCTTCCACAGGCGGCCAGCACACAGACAGCTGGCTTTGGACCTGAGCCCTGTCAGTTCTGGCCTAGCTGGCGGCTACCTTCCTGAGCCTCAGTTTCCCTCAGTTTCCTGCGGGTGGAGAGGTCTCAGGTTAGACCTGTTATCTGTGTCAGTTTCTCCAGGGCTGCTGCAGCAAATCACAAACCAGGTAGTCTAGAACAACGTGTTTAACCTTTCACAGTTGTAGAGGCCAAAAAGTGTGACATCAAGGAGTGGTAGGGCTGGTTTCTCTGGAGGCTCTGAGGGAGATGGGTTCCGTGTACTTCTGTCCTAACTTCTGGGGGCTGCTGGCAGTTCTTGGCGTGGATTGTGGATGTATTGCTCTGAAATCTCCATCTTCCCTTGGCCATGCCTTTTATGGACTTCTGTGTCTTCTCCCTTTCCCCCTCTTAAAAGGACACTGTCGTTGGGTCTAGGACCAACCCTCTGTTTAAAAGTTGTGTATTGGAAAAACAAACTGCTTGCTTTTCCTCTGTTCCCATACCACAATAAACGGAAAATTCTGTGGCCCTAAAAGTTACGAGGCTTTCTCCCCACCAGCAAACAAGCAGACACCAGCTGTGTAATCCGGTAATCCAGCTGCTACCAGGAGACGGTGTCAGATCCCGGGTTGAGGGTTCGGTCCTGAGGTGCTTCCTCCTCAGTGCTGGCCTTAGATGCTAGTTATGAGCCCTGGGTTGCTTCACTCGTGCTTCTGGCCCGCTGGCTATAAAGGATACCCACAGTGCCCTTCTGAGGTTCAGTTAATTTGCTCAAATGCCTCACAGGACTCAGGGAACTAATTATTGTTAGCTTGTTATGAAGGATATTTCACAGGATGTAGATGAAGAGATGCCCAGGGCAAGGGATAGGAGAAGGCTGCTGTGCCCTCTCTGGGTGTGCTGCCCTTCGGGAACCTCATGTCCAGCTGTCTGGAAGTTTTTCGCACCTCTCCTTTTGGGGTTTTGTGCAGGCTGCCTTGCATGGGCACGACAGAAGCTTTGACAGCTGTGCCAGGAAATAATGGGACAAACAGGCTGTGACCTGAAGCTCATAGACTGAGCCGGGAAACCTCGAAAGACCTGTTTGCTTCCGCGTTCTTCTTGGCCTGTGTACAGCACCCTCCCTCCAGGTGTGGGACAGAACCCACTCCAAAGTGGTGGTCTTAAGGTTCAGCATCAGACGAGGAAGGTCAGAGAATTCCATTGTGGCCCGCTCTCAGAGAAAGGCTGGAGGGTTAAGTTACTGTGGCTCCTGTATGGGGAGAGGAATTCTGATTTCTGTGGCCTGCCTCGAGGTGGGAGTACAAGCTAGGAACAGCGACTGAAAACCAAAATATGTGTATCCAGATATGACAGGCCAGTATGCAGCCCACTGTACTAGTGATCAGACCAGCAGTACCGCTGATGATGCGCCTCTTGTTCCTATAGTAGATCACGATAGTGTTTGTTCTTTCATCATCATTGTTAGCCGGTGGGCCTGGGTTTGGATGCCTATTCCATGACATCGTAGCTCTGTGATGCTGGGAAGGAACTGTTGCTCCCTGAGCCTGTTTCCCTTTGTAAAATGGTACAGAAAATAGCTCCAGTCTTACAGGGCTGCCGTGAGAATTAATGAGATCATGGGTGTGAAGGCCTAGTGTAACACCTGTCCCAGGGTGAGCATGCTGTAGATGTGGCTTCTGTTGTTGAAATGTAGTGCCAGCTGATTAGGTGGTGCTCGGTGCAAAAGGAACATGAAGCAGAGCTCAGGGTGTGTTGGCAAAGATGGTGAAATCTTAGAAAGATCTTAGAAAGTGCAACTGAGTAGGTGCTGTTCTCTGTAAGACTCAAAGGATGCTCTGGCTTTTCTGCTGATGCTGTGACCTTTGTTGTTGTTTAACGGTTCACTTGTGGTCACAGAATTGCTTGGTAGGTGCTTACCAAGTTAGTGCTGAGCATGTTCACACAGAGGCAGCAAGGCTTCCAGGGACCGACCTGACTGCTTCAAGAGCTGTGGATCTCTCCTGAGCCTGGGATCCCTAACATTCTCCCCTCTTGTCTTGTTCTTCTATTAGCTGCGCCTCAATAGCATCAAGAAGCTGTCCACCATTGCCTTGGCCCTAGGGGTTGAAAGGACCCGAAGCGAGCTCCTGCCCTTCCTAACAGGTAAGGAGGTGAACGCCCAGTGCAGTGGGTCAGTTGGGGGTGGATCCTGCCAGAGTTGAGAGAAACATCATATTCTAAGTGTCTGCCCCCTGCTGTGGAGCCGGACAGGGATCCAGAGGAGGTGGAATGCAGTGCCTGAGGGAACGGTGTGAATCAGCGATGGCATGCTGTGGCATGCATGCCAGCGGTTTACCACCACTGGTCTGTGTGACGGTGGCCGGCCCCGTGGAAGGGTCTATGTACAGACAGAACCCATTTGAATTGCATCTCCAACTGTTGGCTGGTGATGTTGGACAGGTTTCTTTGTTTCGTTGTTGCTTACATTTCTCAGGTATAATATAGAGATAATCATGCCCACACTATAGCATTCACATGAGCATGAAAGATCAATAATAATTGCTTACTATGTGCCAGCTGGTATCTAGACAGGTTTTGGTGAAATTAGTTCATGTGATGTGACTACAGTGTTGCCTGTGTGCTTGAACATAGGCCCCCATCGCCATTCACCACATCAGTCTCATGGCAGCACCCAGAGGCAGCTAATGCTAGTGTTCCCATTTTGTAGGTGAGGCAGCTGTGTTGTACTGAGGAAAGTAACTCATTTATCTGAATCGAACTATTAAGCAGTGACTAAGGGAGGATATTTGTATAGTCATTCTGGCTTCAGACTTGCCAGTGTTAATTCATAGCACAAGTTGGGGATTCTGACTGCCTGATTTCAAATCCAGGCTTTCCCATTTTTCAGGGCAGTGACTTTGGGCAAGATGTTTCACATCTGCCTGTGTTAGATCTTCATGGGTAGACAGGTTCCCTAGTGTAAGCTAGTGTGCAGATTAAATGGGAGAGTGGGAGTCCTGTTAGAGCTTGTGATAGCGCCTGGTAGCTGCTAAGTGCTGCTTAAACGTTAGCTGCTAGACTGTTACAAAGCCTGCTGTCCCTGAGGAGGTGTGTAGACACCCAGTGCCGTGTCTGTAGTTAATACCACACCCTCTGCTCACTGTTCTCCCTGCCTCATACTGTGCACCGTTTAAAACTGCAACTGCAGGTGAGAGTGCTCTGTCACTAGTGAATGTTCTTCCGTAGCCAGTCATCTCACCTGGACCTAGGGATGATCCCGGAGAGGGAGGCGGTCAACATCATGTCCTGACCCCATCTGAAACGGGGAACGGAGGCCAGGCCTGAAGAGCTTCACTGACTTCCCACAGTGGCAAAGCTAGCGACTGAGGAGTGAAAGCGTCTGACCAAACACGACCTGAGCCTTAGGTGACCGTACACTCGGTGCTGAGCAGGTGACCCCAAGCCCTGTGGCTTCCACTGATGAACTGCTGGAGAGACTCCAGCTTTGGAGTCTCCCGTGGACACCTGGAGCGGGGAGCGAGGCACGACGGGATAGTGTGTGTTTACAGGTTAGCAGGGAAGACAGCTGGAGGCGCCTGGGTTTGGAAGCAGGCAGCTCTGCCACCAGCCTGCTGGGAAAGCGTGGGCGGCTCACCGTGTCTCCTCATCTCCCTTCCCAGGGATGGGCTCTACGCAGTCCTGACCAGAGCTGCGTGAGGACGAAGTGCTCCATTCGGAGCCTGGTCCTAGGAAGCATTCAGCACTCAGTAGGTGCTGCTGGCAGTTCTGTGAGGAGGTGGCGAGAAGGCAGCCTGGTGAGGGTGACCAGCGGGGCGACGAGCGAGTGGTCTCCAGGGAGTGCTCGCGGAGAGTCGGGGGAGGTAGAGATGGTGGGTAGGGTTTTGCTGGCCTTAAGTTGAAGGTCTAACCCTGTAAATGGGGACGGGAGCCACGTACAGTGGAGGGTAAAGGGAGATGAGATGTAGAAGAGCAGACGTTACGTACGTGCAGAGTTTGTGTTGGAAGCGCGGGTGAGGAGGAGAGGGACCGAGGCAGGAAGTCCGCCTGAGATCAGCCGGCGGAGAGCAGAGATTGTGGAGTCAGCGTATCTGCATTCAGTCCCGCCGCGTGCGCTTTGTTTCCTCCTCTGTGAAACAGGAATCGTCGTATAGTACATACAGGAGTCATTGTGAAGATTGTTTGAGCTCAATACATACAAGTATTATTTTATTATATCGTAGCCTCACGTGTAATAATATAATGTTAATAATCAGATAGAAAGCGCTGTGGGGAGAGCTGGTTGGGAGCCAGGAGGCTGGTGAAGAATGCAGGATTTGCAGGTTTCTTTGAGCTGTTGGCTCAAAGTAATGTCATCGTACTCTTTCTGCTTCGGGCTTCTAGCCATAACAAGTGGCACATGCGCTGTGTCTTTTGGGAAAAGCACTGTTTCATATCAAACAACCTAAAAGCCCTTACGAACTCTTACCTATGGAACACTGAGAATGGGTTTTAGGAAAGGAAAACCTCTATATTGTATTAGTTTTCCAGGGACGAAATGTCACAGATGGTGTCTAGAACATCAGAAATTGGTGTTGCGGTTCTGGAGGCTACAACTCTGAGGTTGAGGCATCAGCGGATTTCTCCGGAGGCCTCTCCTTGGCTTGCAGGTGGCACAGACTCGGGGTTTAAATGCAGCTGGACAGCAGGGACTCAATCAGCGTGTTTTACCCGAGACCAGCACACCTCACTGCCTTGGGAGGGGCGGCTGGGCCCGGGGAGAGATGCCTTTGGGTTAGGCGTAGTGTGGAACAGTCACTCAGCAGCCTCAGCTTTGCTCCTGCTGTGCTGAGCGGGGGCACACGGGAGCCAGTCCAGCGCACAGGTGACCGCAGCCTGCGATAAGGACGCTAGGGGCACAGGGAAGGTACAGCTAGGGAAGGGGCCAAGCTTGGTGGAGGGGCATCCCGGACGTCCTTCAACGAGAGGTGGCTGAGCCAGGTCTGAAGAGATGGGAAAGAACGTCCTGGCAGTCGGGAAGGAAGTTCCTGGCTGATCCAGTAGTGCTGAGGGTGGGAGACAAGGAGAGGTGGAAAACAAAACCTCCCCTTCCCCGTCCTGTGCTGCCTGCCCCTTGGAGGGGACAGCGGCCGGCACCACTTTTAGAGCACAGACGGGCTCAGCAAGGTGGCGTCGCTCACCCAGCAAAGGGCAGAAGTGGGACCTGGGCGCTGTCCTGCAGGCCACGCTTGTAGCTCTGTCCCTGTGCCGGCCAGGGGCAGGTGGGGAGGCTGGGCGCAGCCAGCGTGAGGGAGCGTCGCGGCGCCTGCCTGCCTAAGCACGGCTTACGCGGGGTGGGCTCGCTCTTGGTGGGGGACGCGCGTAACAGAGCCGTCTTGGCCCCACAGACACCATCTACGACGAGGATGAGGTCCTCTTGGCGCTGGCGGAACAGCTGGGAACCTTCACCACTCTGGTGGGAGGCCCAGAGTACGTGCACTGCCTGCTGGTGAGTCCGGGAGCTGGGAGACCCCCACCGCTGTCCTCGTCCTGGGGGTCAGGCTTGGGTCCTGCCCGCCAGGGGCAAAGAAGGGTGTAAGGCAGGCTGGAGATCACGTGAGAACAGACGGGCCTCAGACGTCAGGTTCTCCCCGCAGCCCGGTGGGGCCGTTAGTACTGTATGCGGAGCTTGCGCTTGTCGCCGGTGCTGGTCCCTGGGCCACATCTGACCAGTGTCAGGTGAGGCTCTGCACTTACTGGGTGTGTGACTTCTGAGAATAACTGGACCTCTCAGTGTCCTTTGTAAACGGAGCCATTAACACCCTCCTCCATAGCTGACTTAAACAGCACTTGGTACGTAGTGAGTGCGACAGTCGCTGTGATTGTCCTTGTTCTGGCCGCCCTGTAGCGTGGGAAGCGTCTCTTAATAGAGAAGCCGTGTAGAGCTGCCGGAGTTGAGCAGTCTGTCAAGGTCACATGGCTAAGAAATGGCAGAGCTGTGGTCGGTCTGACTCTGGCAGACCCAGCCCGCTGCCTGTGCGTCCCTGTCTGCGTGTGATTGCTAGAGACGCGCAGGTCGGATACTAAAAGGAGCTGCTGTTGGGACGAGGGTGAGGGAGAGACCGGTGGCCTGGCTTGGGAGCCTGGCGTGTAGCTGTTCCGGGCCTTTGCAGGTGCCTTAGCCTCTCTCTGGCCTAGACTCCTCTAAAGTGAGGACAGCACTGCTTCCCAGGATTCAGTGAGGCCGACCAAGCAGCGCAGCATGGAGTGCAGCAGTGGCCCTGCTACAGAGTATGTAGGTGTCAGCCAGTGTCGGTGGCGATCGATGCACTCTGAAAAGCCAAGGACAGCAGGGGCCCTTTCCTCAGGAAGGGACTGGAGTAATTTTAGGGTTCCCGGACCGTAGCGAAGCCCTTTCAAGGACTTCCCAGTGCAGACCTTCGAGGGAGGCTCCGTGGGTTTAGGGTGGGATGGGCTGATCAGAAGACTCAGAAATGAGCCCCCAAGGGGCCCAAGGTGGCCGCAGGCCTGAGGTGGCGGGGAGCCTGTCCAGTGACCCGTGTTCTCGCCACAGCCACCCCTGGAGTCACTGGCCACGGTGGAGGAGACGGTGGTGCGGGACAAGGCGGTGGAGTCCTTGCGGGCCATCTCGCACGAGCACTCGCCCTCAGACCTGGAGGCCCACTTCGTGCCGCTCGTGAAGCGGCTGGCGGGTGGCGACTGGTTCACCTCCCGCACCTCGGCCTGCGGCCTCTTCTCCGTCTGCTACCCGCGCGTGTCCAGTGCAGTGAAGGCGGAGCTTCGACAGTGAGTCCCGCCCTGCCCGTCTTCGCAGCCGGCCCGCGGCTCAGTGTCCAGTCCAGATCTGCGTGGGCCCCTGGTGTCCCGCGCTCTCCAGCTCTTGCCCACCACCTCCCCATCCCTCAGAGGGCCCGTCCTTGTCCTGAGAGTGATCTGCGGACACTGCGGCTGCCCCAGGGCTCCTTCCATGGACTTCTTCCACCCACTAGTTATTAAGAGTCTTTATGTGGAGAGTACTTAGAGCAGAAGCTGGCACGAAAAACACTCAGTGCAGGATGTCTGATGTTACGCAGGCCTGCCCCGGTCCAAAACCTTCTCAAACGTCTGAGCATCACGCCACGCCCCCAGCCCCTACTCAGTCCACAGCACTTGTGCTTAGGTGCCTGCCTTGGTCCCTGCCCCTCTAACTGAGGCGCTCAGTGCTGGAGGAGGCTTGCGGTGGCGTTTTAGTTGAGTATTTTACGTGGTCATACAGACGGTTTGGAGCCCCTACCGTGGATGGGTCCCAAGGGCCCCACCCCTGTTACCTCATTCAGGCCTCACCCTGGCCCAGGAGCTACTTTTGCTGTCAGCCCCACTTCAAAGGCCAGGAAGACTGAGAGGGGTCATCACCCGACCAGAGCCCACACTCGAGTGCCCACGTCAGCGGTGCTCAGTGCTCCTCCCTGCTGTGCTGCCTGCTGCCTCGGGGTCCCCAGGGCCTCCTCCTGAGCCCCGTCCCACCCCCAGGTACTTTCGGAACCTGTGCTCAGACGACACCCCCATGGTGCGGCGGGCCGCAGCCTCCAAGCTGGGGGAGTTCGCCAAGGTGCTGGAGCTAGACAACGTCAAGAGTGAGATCATCCCCATGTTCTCCAACCTGGCCTCTGATGAGCAGGTGAGATTGCGCCCGGCCCCTCCAACGTCCCCTCCCTCTGGCGGGCCCCGCACTGGAGAGCGAGCCCCAGAGCTCAGCCGGGCCTCTGTCAGCTTCCCCTTGCCCCAATCCTCACCCCAGGACTCTGTGCGGCTGCTGGCCGTGGAGGCGTGCGTGAACATCGCCCAGCTGCTGCCCCAAGAGGACCTGGAGGCCCTGGTGATGCCCACCCTGCGCCAGGCTGCCGAGGACAAATCCTGGCGCGTCCGCTACATGGTGGCCGATAAGTTCACAGAGGTAGGCCAAGGGCTTCTGACCCCTGTAGGTGGGACACTGAGCCCTTCTGAGGGGAAGGGCTGAGCCACGTGCAGGGGCTGGGGTTTTCCAGCGGAGCAGCACGGTCCTCGGGTGTTGAGCACTGAGATCTCTTTGAGGGTACTGTTGGACTCCGCTGCTGTAGCATTAGAATGTTTTTGGATCAGGTATCAAAGTACAGCTAAAGTCCCCTGAATAGTAAGGAGACCTATTGCTATTTGTAGTGCGAACAGGTCTACCAGGTAGGTGCCCTTGTGGTCTTCCTTTTGTTTCTGAGGAAGCCAAGACTTAGGTGGAAAGCCTGGCCTGGGGTCAGGCAGTGTTGCTGGGTTTGGATCTCTGGGTGGTTCCTTCGCCCATGCTGTGGCCCCCGTTCCTGTGGCCCTTTGTTTGTCCTCATCGGAGTGGCTGCCATGCCTTCTTACTCTCCCCGCCCCTGTGGTCCCTGTCTGCAGCTCCAGAAAGCAGTGGGGCCTGAGATCACCAAGACAGACCTGGTCCCTGCCTTCCAGAACCTGATGAAGGACTGTGAGGCCGAGGTGAGGGCCGCAGCCTCCCACAAGGTCAAAGGTTGGTGCCGTGCCCAGAACACAGCCGGGGGGGGGGGGGGGGTGTCCAGGGGGATGGGGGCGGGATCAGGGCGTCACATCTCACCCCTCCCTAACTCCCTCGTCCGCAGAGTTCTGTGAAAATCTCTCAGCCGACTGTCGGGAGAACGTGATCATGACCCAGATCTTGCCCTGCATCAAGGTAACAGGGAGCTCGTTGGGAGGAACAGCGTGAGCCTGAGGCTTCCACAGGAAGGGAGTCTGGGCACTGGGACAGCCAGAGGCAGACTAGGTTCCCAGGCCTGCAGGACCTTGAGGCACTGTCACTGAAACAGCTGGGTGTCCTGACTCCGGGCAGAGCCCGCGGCCTGGGGCTGACCTCGGAGGAGGGCAACCCCACGGTGCGGCGGGCCGCAGCCTCCACGCTGGGGGAGTTCGCCAAGGGCGAGTTCTGCGTGCCCTTCAGAAGGGACCGAGTGTCCTCACCCACAGAACTTGGGACTGGGGCAGGGGTATTTAAGCCTAGGAAGGAACGACAGTGTGCGTCCCCCTTCCCCTTGCCTGTGCTGCGTGAGTGCGAAGGGCCGGTGGTGGCCGTTTTCTCAGCGCTTCCCAGAGCTGCCTGCTGGGTCTTCGGTGCTGCCGCGGGGTTCCCTGACCCCGGGGCCTCCCCCTGCCTCTTCCTCTCAGGAACTGGTGTCAGATGCCAACCAACACGTCAAGTCCGCCCTGGCCTCCGTCATCATGGGCCTCTCACCCATCTTGGGTAAGGACAACACCATCGAGCACCTCCTGCCCCTCTTCCTGGCTCAGCTGAAGGATGAGGTAAGAGGCCCAAGAGGGATGTCAGCTCTGTGTTTCTAGAGGTGACGCAGGGAGACTCCTTCCCCAGGTTGACCAGGAGTCCCGTACTCTGAAGAGGCACCCAGGTCTTCGCTGAGCTGATTGTGGGCACAGCTGCCTGTGCGATCACTCACCTTTTATCAGCCGTCGCTTTGTGTCTCCTCGCCTCTGTGCTTGTCTTTTCCTGGGCCTTGGGGGTATGAAAAAGGAAAAGCGAAACAATCTTGATTCTCAGAGGGCTTCAAGACCAGTGTGGGACGGGCATGTGGGCGGGCACTCTCGTGGGTCCACTGAGGTGCTGTAGGTGCTGGCACGGGTCCTCAAGCTCTTTAGGGCTCAGAGAAGGGTGCTGTAACAGAGACTTCAGAATACTTGGGCTTAAACAAGACAGGATTATTGCTCTCACAGCAGTCCCACCCTGGGGGATTAGCCCTGCTGACCTCAGCTCTGGCTGACTCGGAGGTGACTGCCACAGTTTGTACATGGAGCGGGCACCAGACAATAGGCCTGGTCCTCCTCGGGCCAGCAGTCATCCTGTCTGCTTACAACACCTCACACCCCCATTGGCCTGAACTGGTCATGTGACCACGGAGGACAAGAGAGGTTGTTGTGCGTGGTGACTGGAGAGGCCAGGGGTGACCGTGGGGGAAGGACTTGGGATTTGAACCTGCGGGGAAGTTTCGGAACTGGGACAGATCTGGGTGTCAGAAAAGATCCCTGAGGCCAAGACAAAGAAGAGATGAATAAGGTGGCTGGAATGTTCAGGACGACCAAGGGAGGGGTCCACGGGGGCTGAGCGGGGCCAGGCTGACTAGTGATGTTGCTTGTCTGAGTCTCTTTTTCCCTAATGGAGCGCTTTCATAACATTAGCTAGGTGTAGATTCACACAGGTTTGCAGGCAAATTAGCTCCTATTCCAGACAGGTGAAGGTGGTCACATCGGCAGTCCCTGCTCCAGAATTCTCTTTTGAGAGAGAGAGGATGGATAAGCAGCTCTTAGTCATTGCATGGTTTTTTTTTTTTTTTTTCTGAGACATAGCTCTTCAGGGAACCTTTGGGACCTGGTGGGCTCAGGTCCCAAAGAGCCGTTAGTTGAGGGACCTAAGGTAGAACAAGGCAGAGGATTATGTTTGGTGTAAAACTTCTGGTGGAAGACATTTTTTTTTAAGGTTTTGCTTTGGTAAGAGGAGAACATGAATGCCTCTTGGTACCACTAGGACAAGGAAGCTTTCGTATACATTAGATGCAACGTCCTTGTGGGGAGAGCTGAGGCAGCTTGCGGAGGAGTCATTCATGTCAATGTATGCATCGTAGGTGAACAGTGTTGCACAAACATTCCAAGGAGTGGCCTATTGAAAGGGTGTGACAGAAAAGTAAGACAGCAGGTTGATGAGCACCAGCAGTCCTGCCCTCTCCCCAAGTGTCCTGGGCTCGAAGAAGCAAATTGTTTCAGTGTAAGGAGGGCAACTGTTGTTTCTGAGACGTCTTCTCTAGCCTCAGACAAGCTAGCACAGCATCAGCTGTCTTCCATTCCTCACAGAGAATCTTGTTGTTTTGATAAAAAGGGATTTATATTTTTTACAGTTCCAAGTAAGGTTCCCAGTGACTGCATGTTTTATTCATTGTTTGCCGTGTCTGAGTCGCAAGACTACCCTTCGGTGGAATAACCTAGAACAACCTGCAGACCTCAGGAGAGTTGATTATACTCGCATATCCCTTCAGCACAGTCAGGGACACAGATTGAAAACAGCAAAAGAAAAGCATGTGGGAGAGACCAACCATGTTGCCATGTTTCTCCCCGTGGACCCGTGGGGACGCTATTACTCCCCAGGAACCTGGTGGGCAACGTGTATGGAGAATTGCCAACTAGAGGCTCACCTGAGGCTCAGGGCCAGGGCTTCCTTGGTGGGCGGTGGCACAGCCCTGGATCGCCCTTGTGGCTGACCTTAGTTACTCAGTGTCCACCTCTTCAGAGGTCAGACGGATGCCAAGCAGCCCGAATCCCCACCGTAAACGGCAGTGATGACACAGACCGTCCGCTGTGGTTCAAGGCGCAGGCAAACCAAGACACTTTCACTTAGTGCGACGCGCGAGGGGCCGAGAAGTTCTGTGCAGCGCGTGGGCCAGGCCTTTCTTTGGAATGTGCAGAACTGGACCAGCTGCGCCTGTTGAACACTCGCTCACGTGGTCATTGACTTAGTTCAGTACTTCTCCGCTGCGCCGCTCAGCGGGCATGTAAAGCGGAGTAACTTACGGTGTCCGCCGTTCAGGAGCACGTGATCCAGGACAGGGCTCCAGTATGGGTAAAAGAACTAATGAACTAACTGCGTCTGTGTGTTTCCTTTACAAATGTCTTCGTCTGCTTTATGGCAGTAGCTGGGATGTTTTGGTGCACACTGAACCAGAGCTCATAATGTTGGTTATTGGAAGCAGTTCAAAACCATGCTTTCAGAGGGGAGGGAGCTGAATAAGAAAAAGAATTAAGTTGCATTATGTACGTGTACCACCTGCCAGAATGAATGTGTATACTGCAAACATGTGCCAATCAAAATTAAAAAGAACATTCCCCCAAAAATGCCTTCTCTCAGCAGACACCTTTTGGGCTGGAGATGTATGTGTATGGTGCATGCTCTGGGGTCCAAGCTGGCAGAGTCACATTATGGGGCACACACTGCAGCCCCACCTTACTCTTTTTTTTGTTGTTTTGTTTTGTTTCCGGTACCGGGAATCGAACTCGCGACCTTGCACTTGCCAGGCAGGTGCTGTGCCGCTGAGCTAAATTCTCAGCTCCTCACCTTACTCTTAAGAGCCCCAGCCACCCTTTGCGGCTAGGTGCCTATTCCGTGTCACAGACAGACGCCCATTGAGGAGCTCCCGCTAGCTGAGAGCTGTCAGAGAGCAGAGCCAGGATGAGAGCCATGTCTGCGCTCCTGTTACCCCGCACGGCACTGCATTTTCTCCTTGCAATTCCTGCAAGTTAGAATGGCTGTGTGTCTTGTGATCCTGCTACACGGCGTAAAAAGCTCCCCAGTTAACCTGTGTTCCCTGCTTTGTGTGTGCCTCCAGCGTGTCCCCAGGCTTAGAGCTGGCGTGGGTGAAGTCGCCCTTGGGGGAGGTTGGTTCTGTGAAGCGGGTGGAGTTGAGCGGTTGCGCGTGCAGTGCGTTCTCTGAGTTCCCCTGTGCTGTCCGCAGTGCCCTGAGGTGCGGCTGAACATCATCTCCAACCTGGACTGTGTGAACGAGGTGATCGGCATCCGGCAGCTCTCGCAGTCCCTGCTCCCTGCCATCGTGGAGCTGGCCGAGGACGCCAAGTGGCGGGTGCGGCTGGCCATCATCGAGTACATGCCCCTGCTGGCCGGGCAGCTGGTGAGTGAGGAGGCCTGGGGGCTTGGAGGCCTGGTGTCGGCCAGGACGGCTGCCTCGGGCCTGGGAGAAGGGCTGTAGGAAATAGGTCCTTAGAACTAGGTGGAGTTCAGTAAGAGGGTGGAGGGAGAGGGGTGCCTCAGGCGAGGTTGAGAAGGGTCCGATCTGGGGTGGGCGTAATTCTCCTGGGATCGGTGGTACCACTCCCTGCCCCCTCTTCCCTGAGCCCTTACCACCTTTTCCTCCCAGGGAGTGGAATTCTTCGACGAGAAGCTGAACTCACTGTGCATGGCCTGGCTCGTGGATCACGGTAAGTCCCCCGGGAGGGCAGAAGAGAGGAGACAGCTCCAGGAAGGACGGGAAGGTGGGCCGAGGCCCTTCCCTGCCGTTGGATGCCACAGGGACCCGCCGCCTTGCTGTTGGAGCACCCTGAGCAGTGCGTGCTGGGCGGGAACATAGCAGGTCGCCCAGGGCTGCCTGGTGGCGTGTGTGAGAGGGCCCCTGAGCAGACAGCCTGTGTGAATTCCGCCCTCCTCTCGGTCAAAGCTTACAAAAATCTCTTGCCACCCTTCGGCCGTACATTTACTCTGTGAAACATGGGATTTCTCATCCCAGTCTCGGGGGTATGGTGAGAACTGCTCATTGTTTTGTTCGGCTGGAGGAAGATACTAGTTAATGCTGCTCTTTACCAAACACTGTATGAAGTCCTACGTGCTAAATAATTAGCGTGGCCAAGCCCCTTCTCAGAACCGGTTGGCCTTTCTGTATAATGAAGCCGAAAGTGGAGGCTTGGAAAGGTACCGTGTGAGAAGACACTGCATGAACCGTGGGCTGCTGCTTTGGTTCGGTTTGGGCTGAGTTTATTGGCTGACCAGTGGCCCAGCCCCACAAGCTGCTCAGGAAGTGATAGCAAGTATGACTCTTAACTCCCGTGCCCCTCAGCCCTTCACCCGAGTCACCTGCCCTCTTACCCTCACCTGCTGCAGTCTATGCCATCCGCGAGGCAGCCACCAGCAACCTGAAGAAGCTGGTGGAGAAGTTCGGGAAGGAGTGGGCCCATGCCACGATCATCCCCAAGGTCCTGGCCATGTCTGGAGACCCCAACTACCTGCACCGCATGACTACGCTCTTCTGCATCAATGTGAGCATCCGCCGCCCGCCGGCTCACCCTCGGGAAGCTGGCGTGCCTGGGAGGGTTGGGGAGGAGCCTCTGCTGAGACAGCCAGCTTGGAAGTGGAGAAATGGCAGGGAGCCCGGGCGCAGGCATGAGTCCTGGGGAAGTGCGGGTCATGCCTTGAGGCTTCCAAAAGCGAGGTCACGGGGCCGCTGTGGGCAGGGACTTGCATGGGGGAAGACCCAGGCAGGGAGACGGCCTGTGTGAGCCGTGATCTCTAGAACTTCCCAAGAACCCTCTGCTTCCCTGCTAAGCAGATGGGCACTTTCGGTAAGATGGAGTGGCTGAGCTGGCGGCTCCAGAGTGAGACCTCATTTTAAATTCTGACTCTACTACACATTAACTGTGGACCATGGGGAAATTACCTGACCACTTAATGCTTAGTTTTTCTCACCTGTAAGGGATTAATGCTGCTGGTTAGCGTAGTGAAGGTTAATCTTGTTATACATACAGAACGCTTAGAACAGTTATACCATATAGAAGAAGTATACTTATCTATTTATGTTCATTATCATTACAGTTATCTCATGTACTGATAACATAAATCACTCAGAGCTAGAAAGTAAGGGATGAGATTTAGAAATAAATGTAAATGGTCTAGTAATTTCTTCCCGTGCCATTGCATTCTGGAGGGATCTCAGGTTAAGAATCAAGGCCCATCCCCAGAGAATGAAGTAAGTCTGAGGACAAAGACTAGGACATCCCAGAGTGGAAAAATGGTGTTAGGGGAGTTGGGAGCTTCCGGAGATAAACTGTCCTTGGGGTGGTCCTTCTGGGGCCAGACCCTTCTGTGTTGCCCAGCCTCGACCTGGACCAGATGTCCAGGAGGCCTGGCGGGAGGGAAGGAAGGTGGGGCGTAGCCGTGAACTTCTCATAATCACCTCTGTGCCCCTCGCTGTCCCCTAGGTGCTGTCGGAAGTCTGTGGGCAGGACATTACTACCAAGCATATGCTGCCCACAGTCCTGCGTATGGCTGGGGACCCAGTAGCCAACGTCCGCTTCAATGTGGCCAAGTCCTTACAGAAGATAGGCCCCATTCTGGACAACAGGTGAGGCCTGGGGGCTCCCTCACACGCTAGCAGGGGCTTTTTCTGGGCATCTTGGTCTTTGACCTGTAAAGATACAGCTCAGGCTTTGAGGCTGGGACTGCTCTCTGCTTGCTCTGCGTACTCAGGCCCTGCTTTCCCCTTCACAGTGTCAGTTTGTTAACTGTAGAGTGAGAACTCACATGGCCTGCACCATAAAATGGAATGAAAGAGCAGCTGGCAGCTCTGCAGACTAGCAATAAGTTACTAGAAAATGAAACTAACAAGATTTTACAGATAAACGGTGTGACTGAAAAATACTGTGAGGGCTGAAATTCTAAAAAAAATTTGCGGAGACACTTGCATTAATTCCACTCAGAATCCTCCTCCTCATTTCAGATGCACTCAGTCTGTCTTTCTGAAGCAGTTCTGCAAGTCCTTTTTCATGAGTGTTTTTAGTTGGGTTTTCATGGCTGCCTCCGTGTCCTGACTCCATTCAAGGTATTTGCCTTTCTGCTTATTTTGACTTTGGGGAAGAGACAGAGGTCACACGGCGCCAGATCCAGCAAATGAAGTGGATGAGAACGCACTGTAGCGTTTCATGGCCGGCCTCTGTCGGAAGGCACGTGGCAGCAGCGGTCAGCGTATTTTTCATCACTTCTCTTAGACATGAAAGACTTCCACACTGCTTCAGAAAATGGCAAGAATCAAGGGGTAACTGTTTGAAGCAAGGGAGAGTATTTCAAGAGGGATTAATGGCAGTGTCTCTTGCACGATAATAAATTTTTAAATTTAAACATTCACCATATATTTTGATAATACTATGTGTGTATATACATATATACTATATATAGTTTATACTTACATGTGGGTGTGTAACAAACATCAAATAGGAATAAACTGAAAGATGTGTAACATCTCTGGTAAAAACTATAAAACATTGTTTTCAGAAACTTATGTAGGACCTACACAATATCCATGCATGGGACGGTTCCCTGAATTCATCTTTAAACTTGGTGTGGACCTATTAAATATCAGCAGATTCATGAGTGGAAAACTGGTTGATTCTGGAAACATTATAGGAATGCAAAGACTGAATTAACCAAGGTGTCTTAGGTACTTTTCTCATTGCTGAGACAAAATACCCCAAACCTACAAGTTAAGGGCGGAAAGGTTTACTTAGCTTACGTCTTGTAAAAGTCAGTCCATAATTGGCTGGCTCCGGGGCAGGGTGGTGTGGCAGACAGGCATCACAGAGGAGAAAGAGTCCATGGTGGGCAGAAGGGAGCAGAGCAATAAAGGACGACCGCAGCTCTTTCTGTCCCTTATATCTTACCCAGGCTACGTAGGGCTGGTAGTACTTACACCCTTCATCCTAGTGCTCTTGATCCCAGCACTGCACCATGAATTAATCCCAGTGTCACATATCCTAGATACAGCCACCTCTGAAAAAGCCCTAGCTATGACCACATGAGACTTTGAGGGGAAACTAGACAGAAGCCATAACACAAGGCAACCCCAATGAATAGAGTTGGACAGCTTCCTCTCCCAGATACAAAGACTTACGATGCCACTGTAATTAAAGCAGTGAGGTTGCAGCACAAGGAAATTCACAGATAACTGCTGCACAGAATCAGGGCTATAGCAATGGACCGAAGAACTCATGAAAGCAGGCACCGTTGCAGTTCAGTGAGGAGATGCTCATATTTTCCAAAAACGACCGGAGCACTCGGCTGTCCAAATAGTGAAGAAACTGCCTTGGTGCATAAGCAAATTAATTTGAAATGACAGCCTAGATAAAAGAAGACTTCTAAAAGAAAATGTAGACGTCTTCCTCACTTGGGTGGACACAGATCTACTAGACAGTAAAAGAAAGAGATGGAGAAAGTAGCCTTCAGCAAAACGAAGAACTGTGTATCACAAGGCAGCATTTCATAGTAAACTAGCAAGCCCCTGGCTGGGGGAGTATTTGCAGTAACATTTCTCCTAAAGGGCTCTCCCGGAATGCTTGTCTGGAAATAGTAAGACGAGTCCCAGAAAGAGACGGGCAAACATTTGAACAGACCCTTCAGAGAGGGGCTCTCCACATGGCCAGGAGGCAGCGACAGGGCACTCAGCATCGTTAGGACAGAGAAATTCAGGTTACACCCCTGTAAGGTATCGCTGCGCACTGCCGGCAGGGCTGTGAAGACGCCGCGCTGCTGCTTGCTCACCCCGGCGGCGGCGCCGCCAGCGGCTGAGCCTTCTGAGGACGGGTGGGCAGTGGCGAGGGTGAATGCCCGTGCGCACAGGGGCCAGCCCTCACGCGCCCGCGTCCGCATCCCGGAGAGCAGTGCTCCTTTCTTTGAAAGAGTGTTCACCGTAGCTTTACGCATAGCAGCCGTGAGGTGGAAGCAGCCCTAACGCCTGTCCACAGGAGAGGCTGAGTTCCGGTTGATTCATATGGTAGAAAACCATTCAGCAAGGAGAGGGGATGCCTGCCGTAAGCAGCAACGTGGTGACTCTTAGGCCTTGTAGTAAGGGAGAAACTAGACCCAAAACAAAGTGCCGTGGACATAAAGCTCAAAAATAGGCAAAACACGTCTAGGTGTCCGGTGAGAGCAGGGATCCGGGGGCAGGGCAGCTGGCTCTTACGGGAAGGACATGCGTGGAGCCTGCGCAGCTCATTTCTCAGTTCCGCAGCCCCAGCCTTCTGTTTTTTCTCTCAGATCTGCCTTGGTTTCCCAAAGCTATTGATAGTCGGTGCAGGCAAGTTTCCTGGGGCTCCTGTAGATGAGGGTCGATGCTTCGTGTGGTCCCTTGCAGAGCCAAAAACGTCGCTTTTGACCCTTTCACCAGGCCCGTGACCTGTGCCCGGTTTGGGCAGTGCCTTCCTCCCGGTCCGGGCTCGACCTGAGCGGGCATGGAGTGATCGCTCCTGTTTCACCCTGGGTGCACTGTTGGCCCCGGCAAAGTCCCGTTCCGTCCGTGAGCGGCTGCGTTGCTCAGCCGCAGACTTTAGGTTCCGTCTCCCGTGGTGTGCCTTCCCGGACTGCTCTGACCAGCTGCTCCAGGCCCCAGACACAGCTCCTTGTTTGTCAGACTGGCGCCCTCCGAAGTAATTGCACCGGCGGCCTCAGGGCCTTCTGATGCGGGGGTGTGCATGTGTCCATCCGTCGGCCCGGGCTCCCGAGTCGCCCCTCGCTCTGCCTGTCTGTCGGTGTGCAGCTCTTGCTCAGGGAGCCCTCTGCGCACCTGTGGCCCGCTGCCCAGCCCGGCTCACTGTCTCCTCCGCTCCTTTCGTCTGTCCAGCACCCTCCAGAGTGAAGTCAAGCCCATCCTGGAGAAGCTGACCCAGGACCAGGACGTGGACGTCAAGTACTTCGCCCAGGAGGCTCTGACCGGTAAGGCCTCGCGCGCTCAGGGCCCTCGCGGGAAGGCGGTCTGCAGGGCGTGGGTACCGGGCGGGGAGCAGGGCTGGAGCAGTTGCGGGGGCCGAGAGCTGCGTTCTGAGTCCGGCCCATCCCTGCTCTCCAGTTCTGTCCCTCGCCTGATGCTGAGGAGAAGTCAACACCGGCCACCGATGTCCGCCCTCCCGCCCCACCGCGTGCCTCCCTCGGGGAGGCGGTGAGCGCCGTGGACGGCCTCTCCCTGTGCATGGTCTGACCCCAGGCGCCTCCCCCAGCACGGTTCCTTCTCTCCCCAGCCTGAGAAGACTGCTCACTGTCCACCTCCCAAGGGGCTGGGGAAGCACAGGGTGGGACGGGGCAGCGGCCGGGGGGAAGGGGCTGCGCCTGCCCGGCCCGTGGTGGGGAAGAGATGTGAGTGTCCCAGGTCACGGGTTCCTGCTGCTGTAATGGGGACCCCTCGCCCTCTGTTATCCACCTCCCTTCCTTCCCCCTCCTCCAGTGGTTTTTTGTGTCAATTGTGCTGTTTTTATTTTATTCCTTTTATCCCCTTTTCACAGAGAAATAAAAGTCTAGAAGGAGTCCTGTGGTTCTTCGCCATCTAGCACGGAGGAGCGTGTGCCACCCCAGGGCCACACGCTGTCCTTCTCTGTGGGGAGACTTGTCCTGGAGCTGTCGCGTGGGTGTCCCAGAGTTGGGAGGGTTCTCTGGGGTCCAGCAGCACTGCAGCTGGCCTGGAGGTGGGGGTCCCCAAGGCGTCTCTGGCCTGCAGCCCGTGGGACAGTGCACTTGCGCAGACATCAGCAGGGCACGTGGCGAGCAGGAGCAGAGGGGTCAGCTTCATGCTGTGTGCGGTGGGGGCGGCAGTTGCCCAGACCCTGGGGCGCTTGTGAGCACCAGGTGAGTGAGGACCTTCCCGGTGGGAGCCCCGTGTGGCTCGCCCCGTGTGGTCAGGGCTGGCTGCAGTGGCCCGCACGCCGCTGCCGATGAGGCCCTGTGTCGGAGACACGGGTACGCAGGACGTACAGTGAGTGGAACGGGGACTGTGGAGAACAGAACCGTTCGTTCTCAGAATCTTTTCCTTTTCTTAATACAGAAGCTCTGAGTTTTGGCGGGGGTACTTGACTGCCCAGAGTCGAGGCGTTTCCCCTGCTGCTTGCTCCTTCCTGGGCCCCAGCACGTGGCATAGAGAGCCAGGCTCCTACCGGTACCGGGGGAGCAGAGGCAGGACTGCTCGCGTCAGATCTGCAGATGGCTGTGCTTTGGGTTTTGTCATTTTTACTGGTCTCTGAATGCTTTTTCCAGAGGGTATTTTTTCTAATAACATAATTTAAAAATACATGCCTTCCGGCAGCAGGACCTGGAGTGCGTGGCCCTAGTGAGCGTGAGGACGAGGTGGGTCAGTGCCTCCGTCAGCCTCCCTCCGTGGCCCGGTGCACTGGGGAAGCCAGCCTGCTTCTCGGTGGGTGCAGAGTTGACCAAACCCTTCCCTGAAGGCAGGCTCCTGGGTCTCCCTGAACCAGCACCCCAAATATGGCCCTGGCAGAAAACTCTCTTTAGAACAAAATGTATGTTTGGGAAAACCAGACTTTCTCAGTTACAAAAAAAAAAAAAAAAAAAAAACCAGCTTCCTCAGATGAGGATCTAGAATGAGAACTGATACATTTTTCCTACCTGTATGAACTTCTTATTTGTAGAAACTTAGTGTATAGAAGACTTTGTATGGCCAGAAACAGCAGACTCCCAGAGACAGCCTAGGGAGTGCTAGGGAACCTTTTGAGCTTTTAAGGATATAGGCCGCAGGCATGTGTGCCATAGGTTCGCCACCCCCGACCTAGGGCAAGGGGAGCGAAGCCCGGGGTGCAAGCGTTCTGGCACCTGCTAATGGGGCCAGGTTGGGTCACAGGCTCCCTGAGGGTCCGAGAAGGGGGAGTGCCTCAAACATAATTGCTGGTATTAGGAACTTCCCTGTGTTTCTGGACGTCGAGCCCTTTCTCTCATCTACCTGCCAGCAAACAGACCTCAGTGGTCCCCAGCAGTAGCTGGCTGGCTAAAATATTTGCCATTTGTCGCTGGCGCCATGTGTGCTCATGCAGGAGGAGGAACTGTGACCACAGGGACGTCTGTTGGTGATTCACCTTGGGCTCCGGTTACCGCCTTCTGCTGACATTCCTCTTCAGCGTGAGGTCTAGACTAAGCCTGGCCCACCTCTGGGACCTGGCTCTCCTGATCCTCTGCATGCCCCTGCTCATGAACACAGTTCCAGGCTGAGCGTTGGGCATGGCCTGGGGTCTCAGAGCCGCACACCCAACGACTGTCAAGGTCTCTCTGCCTTTGGCCTACTTGAGTTGAACCTACCGAAACAAGTGACTTTCCTCTTGTGGAGAAGCCTGTCCCTTCTGTGGTAGGAATGAGGTCATTCACCGGGGTTTCTGCAAACCCTCCTCCCTCGAGTCAATGAACTCCAGTCCTGCGTTTCGTTGCTGTCCTGATTGCAGATTCCTCAGGGTCTCCCCTCTTCATTGGAGGCTAAATGCTTATTCTGGATCTTAGATCTTGTCCTAGGTCAGAATGCCACAAACTGGTATTGGGCAGCTTACATTAGCTTATGAATGGCAGAAGTTTATTTCTCACAATCTTGGAGGCCAGGAAACCTGAAATCAGAATGTCAGGTGTAGAAGCCAGTTGTGGCTCAGCCTGTGAGTTCAAGACCAGCCTAGGCATCGAGACCCCGTCCCAAAACAGGGAAAGATGCTTGCAGGTTTGGGGTGTCTGATGAGCGCTCACTTTGACTCATAAATAATGCCTGCTGACTGCGTCCTCACTTGATAGAAAGGGCACATGGCCTCCCCTGAGCCCATTTTATAAAGGCGCTAGTTCCCTTCATGCAGGTGTCGCCCTCGCAACCTAATCACCTTCCGTACGAGTCTCACAACACCCTCCTGACGTGTGCGGGCCAGGTGTCTTCTCAGAGGATGATGCCAGTGTCCGGAGTCCGGACCTGGGAGTCTGAGCTGCGTCACTCTGTCTCCTCCTATTATATCTCCCCCCGTCCCCAGGTGAACAAGATGCAGTATGCACGCCATCATTTTTCACTGCCATAGGTGGACAGAAAATGCAATAGGAAAAGTGGCCCATTTCTGAGCTGGCTCTGAGCGCTTTCATTGAGAGGGAATAATTCCAGCATCTCCAGAGGCGGTGGCCCTAGGACCTCATAGATGAAGGGTCCCCTTTCATGTAGAGATTAAAGATCTCCTTGGAGATTCTGGGGTCACACAGGCACAACCTTAACTTCCAGCGGTCCGCCTTTGCCACCCTTCCTGCCTCTGCATTGAAGCTGGTGAAGGTGGGCCTGGCACTCCAGTCACTCCCCTCTGTCTAGGCAAATGGCAGACAACCATTTACTAGTATCCCAGTTTATATCTTGTGTGTGTTCCTTCTCTCTTCCTTATTTTTAGTGTGAATAAAATCCTCTTCTTTGTCTGGGAAACAGACTTGTGGTCCTTCTGTATCATTGGTTTCTTACTGTGCAAAGACATTCTCCTCCTGGAATGTTCTCTCCTGGAGAGAACAAAGCTCTGGCAGCAGAATTATGCTTCCTGGGGCCACCACTTCCTGTTTCTACATGACCAAGGTTTCCCTCACCTCCGCAGCCCTCCAAGTGAGCCCTGTCGTGGAGGTTTAGTCCAAAGGCCTTGGCGTGGATGGCAAATGACGAAGTGTTGGGAGAGAGACCGCATTCTGCAGGGATTCCTCCCTCTCGCTAGGCTTTCTCTGCCGGGGAGCATGGCAGGGCTTTAAAGTAGCAGCCTGAAAACAACAGAACAACAAAAAGACAACAGCTACAACCTTTGATGATAAGAAGAAAATCCAGCCGTTAAGTGAACAAGAAGCTGATGAATCTGTTGGTGGTCTTTCATCCTAAACTTGTAAGAAGTCTTAAGGATAGAAAGGTGGGGTGGTGCGTGGGCTAACTGAGTGAGACTAACACCAACAACAACTAGTTTAATAAGAGTACCTGTAAATCTTAAGAAAGTTAACTTTTATGTAAATTTCTATTTGTTGTCAAAAAATATTTGTAATCACTGTATAACTGGTCAAGTGAACGCGTATTATTTTTAGGTTGACACTGTCCATCTGAGGACTAAATATGCCGTTTGTAAAACAACATTTGGTACATGAACAGTAACTTGTAAGGGCTCTCTTCTATATAGTATGCATTGCATAAAACATGAAAAAATGGTCAGTAAAGCTCTCAGCATGTGTGCTGTTTGTATTCAGTAGCATTCAGGTTAGAGGGAAAAGCTGTCATTTAATCATTCATAACCTAGTCTGCAACTGTTAGCTTGACCTAAATGAGCATTTTCTTATCATAGAAATAAGATAATTTATACATTGGGTGGTAAATTTATTTCTGGTCATTAATCCTAAGCTTGTAAGAGCTCTAAAGCTGTCTTGGGCCAGGGATGTAGCTCAGCGGCAAAAAGGCCCGCCCGGCAAAGGCAAAGGCCCGAAGTTGAATCCCAGTACCAAAAGAAAAAAAATTAAAAATAAAAAAATTAAAGTTGTCTTGATTCTTGTCAGTGCTATTACCCTATGTAGACCTGTTAAAGGATTCAAAATTTTGCCTCAACAGTAAAAGCTAAGTTTGACGTTTAAAGAACTTCTGTGTAATTATAATTGTTACTGCTAACACAATTCCAATGAAAATACCAACAGCATTCTTCCAAGAACTAGACAAAAATAATCCGAAAGTTTATGGAAGCAGAAGAGACCCAGAAAACAAATCAGTCCTGAGCAAAGAGAGCAAAGCCGGACATAGCACAAACCCAGATTTCAAGTTATACTACAGAGGTATAGTAATGAAAACAGCATGATACTGGCACAAAAATAGAAATGGAGACCAATGGAATACAGTAAAAGACATGGAAACAGCCCCGTGTACACTTAGCCATCTGATCTTTGAGAAAGGGTGAATAAATGCTGGGAACAGCCTGTTCCAATAGTGCTGAGAAAAGTAGTTATCTACATGCTGAAGAGTGAATCTAGGCCCATATATCTCACCATTTTCTAAAATCAAATCACAGTGGATCAAAGACCTACATATAAAAAGAAACACTAAATTTGCTGAAAGATAAAATAGGTAAATCACTTGATGAAGTAGGCCTAGTGAAGAACTTCCGGAACGACCCCAGTGGCACAAGAAATAACACCAAGAATCAACAAACGGGATCACATCAAAATAAAAAACTGCACAGCAA